AGAACAATACCTCCAAAGTGGGCCGTAAAATTTCTTTCACGTCAATCGTCGCCATCTTTTGCGCCTTTAAAATGATGAAAAAACTTTGTTAAAATTGAAAAAGAATAGCTAAACACTAAAAACTAGCTGTATAAGCCACCGTAAAAGAAAGAAAAGAAGTCCATTATGCAAAAACCAATCTAAAAAAGCAAATCCTAGACAAGAGCACAAAAAAGTAATACTACAAAGATGTTAAAAAGAAACCGATATCACCATCGAAATAAACCAGAAATATTAAATCGAAAAAAATTATTGATTTTATTTATACTCAAAAAACTGCATGCCTCTCACGACAACAAAATTACCTATAATAATTTTATTAAACATACAGGAAAGTCCGAACCCCATGAGGTTTTTGAAAAAATTCAATTCCTACAAGGAATAAAACTGAAGTTGATAAAACAACAAAACTTCACAGTAAAGAAACGGCAAAAACACTTGAGCAAACTGAATCATTTTTGGATTATTGGCTATAACTTACTGCATTTATAAAAACCACCTTTTGATTAAGACACAAGAAAGTACTCGAAGAACCGAACCAAAGGAAAGTAATCTTCAAGAAACCGACATCTAAAACAGGAAATAGGCTACGAGTAAAAAAGTGGGCACTAATAAACAAGAATAAACAAACATGAGTAAACTAACTAAACCAACAAATATGTGAACAAGAGCATCGAGTGTACGCTCATCAGTGTCAGTGACTGACCATAGCAGGTGATTCTGGAAAAGTGGACGAGGCTAGCGTCTGAGTTTGAAAAAACTAATTAAAAATAAAAACAACTTCTATAAACAGCTATTAATTAACGTAAAATAACCTTGGCTGAAATAAAAACTAAGCTAACAGGTCGGAAAGAGTAATCTATTGAACAGTTTCCTTGACTGTTTCCTTAAAATATTCTAAAATCAACTGTTTCGGAACTTCTCAGTAAACGACTTCTAAACCATTGGTCATGCTCAGTCATAGTTTCCGTATGATGCCCCTGAATTAGGGAAGCCTCCAACAGAAAAAACTTCAGTCTAATTCACGATTAGATTATCAGAAACTGTCTGACCAAAAATGCAGCGCTCAACAAGCAATTGGTTGTTAGGCACTGGAGTCCTGCCAGCTAGAAAGTTTTAAGCCAAACTGTGCTCTGAAGAAAGTAACAGTCGGACAGTGAGTATGTGGTGCGAAAAATGTTTGGAGTGAAAATGCCTCGATTTGGAGGAATTCCAAAAATTTTGGCGCGAATCACTATTGTATACGAAACTTCAAGATTACCCGGTCAACCTTCATAGAGGTGTGCTAAAGTTTTGTAATACATGCTTAAATGATGTGTTACTAATGATCCTTAGTTCATCAATGTCTTATCTTTTTTTTTCCAAATTCTCTGCTTTTCGCTTTCTTTTTTTGCTGGGATTTTAGCAGAAGTGTAAGTGTATTTTCACCTTTTACATATTTCTGTTCAACTTTATTACAGCAGTGGCTTAGAAACAGCTGCTAATTGTTTTTATTATACTAGTCTGCATAATCAGGGGTTATGAGATATGTGAAAAAATAACGTGAGAACACTTGTAAAAGTGATAAGTATTATTGAAAGGACAGTTTAAAAAAAAATCTGGTTTTCCAGTAACGAAGAAAATACGGGAAATATAGTACTGGAGAAATAAAAATAGCATCGAAGAAAAGGGAACGGAAATATTGCTGGCGTTCATTTTTTCAATTTCTCGATAGAAATGGCCCATTCTTCCACTGCAATTCAAGCAAAAACGTGAAAGCAAATTTTCCTCTGCGTTGTAGGAAAGGAATACAGTACTGCTCTTAGATGACCGTCGAAAAAAACGTTGGCTTAAGTTTAAATTAAAGCTTTTTACATGTCTTGTCCTGTTTGCTTCATGACTATTTGGCATCACTTTCTTCACAACATTTACGGCCGAAACTGGCTGCTGGGTTTTACTGGATTTTGATGCCCTCGCTGAGTTATTTGCAAAAAATTGATTTAGAGCTGGTTTCTTCTTTTCTTTTTCGTTCTACATTTGTACAACATTAAAAAAGGCACAAAATTCAGCATTTACTACTTATTGCTACAATCGTGGAGAACTCAATATTAGCAAACTCATTTGGAATACTAAAAAAAAAAAATAATTCTAAATCTCAGCGGGAAAAATGAGCTTATTAGGTGCAAAAGAGTCTGTCTCTCGTAAAGAATTGTAAATTTTTAAAACATAGTGTTTCTATCGTCCTATATGATTTTACCAACTTCAGCACACACTTGGTAAAACTGGAAAAAAAAAATATCATGATTCACGGGGAAAATAAAGTAACTGTTGTAAGTACAGTAGCAAAACCAACAAAAGAAAAAATTAGTCTTTACGTGACATTTCGTTAAATATTGGCTAAGGTCTCAAAAATTGGTGTAATACAGTAACCGTTATGTGACCATAAATGTGGTACCGAACTAGCTGCAAAGCTCTCAGAATAAAGCGTTTGCTTGTTATCGAGAGAGAATAGGCTTACATTGTTTTTGAAACTTTCGCTCGCTTTGTCTACGTCACCTAATTGGACTGTAAAATTGTTTCAAAATCCGTCATTTGGATAATTAAAATTCGTGTCGAGGTAATTTTGAAGATGCTAAAATCAGAAGTCATTTAGGTGGTATCCAGTTCAGATCATGAAGTTAAAGAAATTTTATTTAACCGCTGCTATAGATATAGACTCGGAGCTAAATTTTACGGTCGTAGCATTTCATTTGGAGGTTTTTTTCAAAAAAAAATTGTGTATAAATACATCATCAAAGAATAAATAAAGCATTCTTTTCGGAATCTGTTTCTTGTGTTTATGATGAGTATACTGTTTTATTCTCATCATTAGCGCAACGATTTTGGAGTTGAACTCGAGCGGGAGTTGTCTATACTTTTATTGTTCTTCCTACCTTATTGATTTTGCTTAATTTGTCTTCCTTCTCGGATTCGCCTTTTGTTATTCAAGTACTCTACCATGGTTATATCTGAGTTAACTAGTTTGTAGTTTATTATCATTTATTGAATAAACAGATTAAATTTTATTTTGATGTAAGTAGTAGTAAAATTGGTAAAATATAAGCATAAGTGGAAAAATTAAAAATCCCCTTTCTGTAATTGCTTGTATGTGTACTGGAAGGGGAATAAGTTTACGGTATACAAAAAGATTTACTAATACCGGAGTGGGTTCAATGAAGCTGCTGTTAAGAGAAGAATCTCTTACTAGGCATATTAAAATTAAAAGGATTCTACAGTCCAAATTTAGTTTGGTGAGTACCAAAAGAAAATTCACTTTAAATATAAATATAAAATTCTAAAATATATCAAAATTTGCTTCATAGATTGCCGTGAATGGAGAAGAAAGTTTATTCGTAATTGTTTATTAACAGATGAACGAACGGGGTGGCATTCATATTTGCTGATATGAGAAGTCTACTTTTAAATAAAATACTGTAGGAAGGGTGATAATTTCCGCTGCACCATCATTAAAGTCAATGATTTTTCGTCTTGGTTAAAACTAAGACGTTTTGTGGCTCATTTTTTAAAAACTGTGCATACTGCGTTGTGGAGTAAAATTAATGATTTTTCTAAAGTAAAATACATTTTAATTGTGAATTTACTTCGAAATTGTGGCTGCAGAGATCTTTGAAAGGAAACAATTTAAAATTGGCAGAACTCCGATTAACATGGAAAGATCAGTTGGAGAATTACGAAAATTGAACAAGAAGGCGAATTATTAATTTAGTAAAACAGCAAGAGTTGGCGTGGATCATCACAATGAATACCTCAAATCAGCATTACTCGGAAACGGAAGAACGTTCACTGTCTATTCCTCTTCATTACTTTGTGGCGCAATTACAGCGCAAAAAGTTGATACTTGTACTGGATCTTACAAGAAGTGAAGGGACAAAGGAAGACACTCCGATGTGTATGAATATTAATCTGTCAAATATCTAGCCAACCGTCTATTAGATTAATTTTCATTTTTTGATAATTTTTAACCTCGCCTACTATTTCTGCACGGTCTGCTCAAAACTCAGATACTGCAAATACTTAACTTTTTTAGTAGATATAAGAGCATTTTCTATATTGTCCAAGAGAAAACGGGGACAGCTTTCAATCGAGGTTTCGCATCCTGTAGAAAAACAACCAGAAACAAATATAAGACCGAGAAGAACCAATGAGACCGACTCGTAGAAAAAGGACAAACAATTGGGATTTTTTCTGCACGTCAAATTCGAGAAATAGCTTCAAAACTTAATTTTATTCAAAGACAGGTTACTCAATTCGGGGAAATCTTATCGGCCTTTAGCAGCAGTTATACAACCATAGAGCGACTACCGTTTGCAATCCTAATAGCAACTTTATTTATGAACCTCAAGGAAATGCTGAGATGTTTTACTGTTTTTTCCTATGCTCAAATCTTTTTAGTCAGGATTGCGTAAATCTGTTTGGTGAACATTTGTTTCCATAACCAAAATTACAAAATTCTATCTGTGCTCAGGCCGGGATGTCTTAGCGAAATGCTTCTTTTTAAATGAGCAAAGCATAGGTTGTGAGATTTATAATTGGAGAACTGGGCCGAAAACATAAAAAAGTCTGAATCTAAAGTACTATGATTGGAATTTGATTTTCAGAAGACGACTAATAGAGGAACGAAGAATTCAGGAGGAAGAAGACTACTTGCTAAAACAAGCATTTATTGAAGAGCAAAAGATGATTGAAGAGGAGCTTCGGCTGCAAAGGTAAACTCCGTTTTCATAACTGGAAATCTTAGTAATGAAGCGCAGAAAAATCCTGCAGTTTTTGAAACATGAGGAGTTTCAATAAAAAAGTTCTTTTAACATAGTTTTTAGAGAAAGGCGAGCTCAACAAGAAAAACTGGACGCTGAATTGGTTCGCAGGCTGGTTCAAGAGGACCAGCGGGCGCATTTTGTAGAAAGCAGTCCACCGTAAGATTTTCCTCCTTAAACCCACTACGCACCAGTTGGTGCGTACCGATGGCTTAAATTGATGGTTCAGTGATACTTTTTAAAGAACTCCCTTGGCAGCTTGTATTATATTTAATGATTTCTCTTACTGCAGTGAAGCTGATCCAATACCTCAGAAAACTCGATACGATTTGTCGAAATGGCGGTACGCTGATCTTCGAGATGCAATAAACACGTCCAATGGTGAGCTCATTAAAAAAATACTTTTCAGATCAAGCCAATCTATAAATGGTAGTAGGTTTTTGCCCTTTGCCTTAGTAGATCACGACTTTTCAATCCAAAACTTTTCAATACAGTAGGAACTATGACAAATAGCTGTTGACGTGTTTACAAGTTTGAATCTCCAGTGATATGAAAACGCACAAAAAAAAGTCAAATTACATATATATAGTTTGTTTTTAAAAATCATATATATATATATATATATATATATATATATATATAATACATAATTTGAATCATAAAAAATTTTACACTGCAGATAAATAAGGAGAAGTTTTTAACAAAATAATGGTGCTTCTGAACGTTATAATTCTGGGTTTTGCCTGTATCTTCACGATATTCCGTATAAATTGATTTCATCACACGACAACGAAACTTCGTTTTATTCTTTATTCTCAAGCTCTATTTCCTCAAACTTTCATTCATGAGCATCTTCTGATCCAACAGAATTCTCTCTTAGAGCTCTCTCTCAAAGTTCCTAAAAATTAATAATGAGATTCTCTTAAAAATTTTCGTCAAACCCCGATTGCTGCTGTCTGGTGTTTAAAGCATGATTTGGGAGCCTGACAGGACTTTGACTGATACTTATTACTTTTCCTCTCCCCGGTAACTACGCCTAAGTCTCTTTTCACATCGAGCAGCAAGACAGCACAGGACTACTTTGTTGTGTTTGAGAGGGCTCCTGCAGTGCTGCACATGTACTGTCCGCTGTGATTTTGAGGCCTCACAAAGAATTTATCTCAGCTTCCTCTCGCTTCTCACAGCACACAAATGTCAAATAGATATTTAATTTCAACTCCAGTTCCTAAAAACATATCGCATGTAGCCATTTCCAAATTAGCCTCACATATTTTCTCAAATCTATGTCATAAAACTGAGACGATCTACCAGAAAACTATTTAGTTTTTACTAATTTATCTCCGTACACAGGCTTCTCTGCACAGTCAAAATCTGCAACTGTAGCAACCATTGGCCAGTTGCACCAATGTAAACTTTTTTCCGTTGATGAAGCAAAGTAGCAAAAAATCCTCTTTCTTGCATTTCAAATGAAAAATTATTAAAGTAATTTGAATGTGAAGAAGAAAAATAGAAACTTAATCATACAAAAAGGTAAAAAATACGCTTTTCCTTACTGTATCACAAATGATACTGTCTTAAATGTTCTTAGATTATGCAGAAATCGTAAATGCATCATTACTTCTAAATTATGGTAAAGTTTTAGAATTGGAAATGCAAAAGGCAACATTTTTAAAGCAAATTTTTTTTTGAGTTACAACAAAACCGTGAAAAGATTTTTAGATATTGCACTCTTAACCGCTTGTCGAGATGAGTTTCATAGGCGAATGCAGATGTACCAACAATGGAAGAAAACTACTGGAAATAATCAACAAAATTTGAGAGCACCGACATCAGTTTTTGATGCAGGTAAGCTCTATATATATTTTTTAACTCAAGCTGTATGTTTAACAGAAAAGAAAAACCGATCAACAGAGTAACCCCTATAAAATTTTGGTGAATAGTTCAGTTTCTTCGGTTTTTTGTCGCGACTTCTACGGTTTCTGATTAAGCTCTACCAAACTTTGCTGAAAAATCGAGAAAATTCAGGACTCTGAGCCTACTTTTCACACTTCGACCACCTTCTATTGCAGCTATATTTTCAAAACGTTTCTTCCAGCTAATATGACCCCAGTACCCAGTCAGAGCTCCAGTTGTGAACAGCCGAATATTCAGCGTTATTTTAAAGTCCCTTTCACGAGGCCTGTTGAAAGGCGTAAAAGGTTTTCAGGTAAAAACTCACAAACATTAAACAAAAATTACTGTACACCCAGTTTCAGTAACTGAAAAATACAAAATCTTTAAGGACTTCTCGATCATAACTCTGTAAAAGAAGGTTTGTGGTACGCACATTTTGACGGTCAGTGGATTGCTCGGCAAATGGAACTCCATCCAAACAAAAGCCCACTGTTATTAATTGCCGGTTAGATATTACAGTAAAGATGCACGACAAAGATGTTATAGTAAATTAACAAGTTCTCCAAGGTGCATGAGATAAACTTTTTAGAGGTAGGGTCTACAGTCCCTACTGCATTATGCATAAGCAAAATTTAAAGTCCACGTTGGTCTCACCCTATAAAAAGCAAGGCTTAAGGAGTTGCTGACTAATTATCTTAAGGTAGAGACGACGTTGACATGTGCGAAATACCGTTGGAGGCAACACAGCTGACAAGAAAGAAAGGCGCTGAGATTCTCGAAGAAGAATTCGAAACACTTTGGCACCTTTATGGTGGCCCCCCATACCAACGTGGATTAGCGAGGGCGAGGAAGATCAACTCAACCGCAAAATAAATAAAAAAACCAACCTACAAACAAATTCTTATCATCTATAGCAAAAAGGACCAATGCTTCCGGAGGCAAAACTGGTCTTAAACTGTTAGCACCTACGAGAGAGGAAAATACTCACCTTCGTCAACTTATGACCAGAAACTTTATACTTTTATCTAAATGATTATAAATACTGCATATTTATGTGTAAAAGTGTAATTGCTCCTAAAAAAGTCTAAAGCTCTTAAGTTTTTGGTACACCGCATTACACCTTCAAACTGTAACATTTACGACCATCCAATCTGTTGGAAGGCCATTGTAAGTCTATCCATATACGACGCTGAAGATTAAAGTCACTACTTCTCACAGTGTTCTTTGAGCAGATTTTGTCCTATTACACTGAAAGTCACTGAACAAAGACTGCACATAAATACGGGTTCAACAAGTTCTTGCTTCTGTAATTAATTTATTTAGTTGAGTAAAAAAACGCCAGAAGACTGCAGCATAAACAGCACTAAAAGTTTTGCACACTGACAATAACTGTTTTCAAACAGTTGGGTCTCAGAAAATCAACAATTACTTCTTCAATTCATTTTTGGAAAGGAATGTAAAATTTTGAACGTAAAAAAATAAATCTGTTCTACTGTGGGATAAAAATTACTATTGCCTAAGATTGCATCCTCAACTTTCACAGTAAGAGACAATTAGTATATTGAAATGTGATCAACTTTCTTGAAATACTGTATTAAAAGGAAAACAGTGGTATCAAAAACAAATATTAGAAAAACAGTATTTACAATAAGGTTTCTGGCAATGGTAAACAGCAGCCATTAGAATTCATCAACTAACACGTACTTCTGAAACGAAGCTAAAAGAAGTCGATATAAAGAAATGCATCACCCGGTTTTGCTGACAAGAGATCAGGATTTCTAGAACTGCTACGTTTGCGTCTTCTCTAACGAACTCAATCGAGCCATAAGTAGCCGTACCCTTTTCCTTTCTTCCTCGGCCTCTGCACCCAAATTAATTTCGTATTCTTCCAATATCTGCAAAAGAATACTACCACTGAGATATAAATTTTAAGAAAGAAATATTTAAAGGAATAAAATGCACAAAAGGAATAAAGGAAACTTTCAAAAGTACGATGATTCATTCGTGCCACAAGAATTTTATAAAGGAATAAATTAATTTTTTGAATTACATGAAAATTAGACTGTAATAAAAATAGTAGATCTAAATCTAAATTGCAATTTGCGAGGAAAACTGTTCTTCATGAGGTTGTTGTAAAATAGCATGGTGTTAATTTGCTTAATTAGCAACTGCTGACTTTGATCAAACTGTATTAGAAACTTTGGCTCAGTTTAATAATAATACTCATAAAGAGATAGTTGCCAGTTCATGAAATAAAAATCATTAAATCTAATGTCTCTCCAAAAGCATGAGTTTAGTGACGTATAAGAAATGACCCAGTCACCTACAAAAATGAGTTTTATTTATATGTCCCCCTAAGCTTCAAATATTTCAAACAG